AAGTCTCCAAGATCCTCTCTGATGCCCGCCTCACCCACCTGCCCCCTTGACCCTATCCCCACACAACTCCTACAACCTCCCTCCCCCTCCATCTTACGCTCCCTCACCCCATCTTCAATCTCTCCCTCTCCTCCGGCACTTTTCCCTTCCCCTCTGAAAACATGCACACATCACCCCCATACTTAAAAAGCCCTCCCTGGACCCCAATGACCCCGAACAACCTCAGACCCATCTCCTGCTCCCATTTACATCTAAACACTCCTCGAGCGCCTAGTCTAACGCCCGCCTATTGCTCTCACCTCAACGACAACAACCTCCTCGATCCCCCTACAGTCCGGCTTCCGTCCCCCTACACTCCACCGAAACTGCCTTACTCAAACTCTCCAACGACCTGCTAACCGCCAAAGCTAATGGCCACTATTCAGTGCTCCTACTCCTTGACCTCTCTGCGGCCTTTGACACAGTCGACCACCCCCTCCTCCTCAAAAAACTACACTCCCTCGGCCTCAGAGATTCTGCTCTCTCTCTGGCTCTCATCCTACCTGTCACAACGCTCTTTCAGCGTTACCTATAATGCCACCACCTCCCTCTCACTCCCCCTCTCTGTTGGGGTCCCCCAAGGCTCTGTCCTCGGGCCCCTTCTCTTCTCCATCTACACCTCCTCCCTTGGCCAACTCATACACTCTCACGGCTTCAACTACCACCTCTATGCCGACGACACACAAATCTATCTCTCAACCCCCCACCTCACCCCCTCGGTCTCTCCGCCCGAATCACACACCTGTTGAGCGACATATCAGACTGGATGTCGCTCCACTTCCTTAAACTGAACCTCTCCAAAAACCGAGTTTCTTGTCTTCCCTCCAGCCCGGACACCACCCCCCATTGACTTCTCCATCATGTCCAACAACGCCACCATCAAAACCCGCCCCGCAGGCCAGAGTACTTGGTGTCATTTTGGACTCCAACCTATCCTTCCAGCCCCAAGTCCACTCTTTAACAAACTCATGCAGACTCCACCTCCGCAACATCGCCAAAATCCGCACGTTCCTAACTCCAGAAACCACTAAACAGCTCATCCACTCCCTCATCATATCGCGACTCGACTACTGCAACTCCCTCCTCACTGGCCTGCCTCGCCGCTGGCTATCCCCGCTTCAGTCCATCCTGAATACGGCTGCCAGACTCATTCACCTTTCCAAACCGCTCCGTTTCCGCCACCCCCCCTCTGCCAATCCCTCCACTGGCTTCCGATTGCGCAACGGATCAAATTCAAAATCCTAACACTAACGTACAAAGCTGTCCACCATACTGCCCCGAACTACATCACTGACCTAATATCCAAGTACCGCCCAGCACGCACACTCCGCTCTCACAAGACCTCCTTCTCTCTAGTTCCCTGGTCTCCTCCTCCCATGCCCGCCTCCAGGACTTCTCCAGGGTGTCACCCATCCTCTGGAACTCCCTGCCCCAACCCATCAGATTATCACCTACTCTCCTCTCCTTTAGGCGCACCCTGAAAACCCATCTCTTCAGGGAAGCCTACCCCGCCCCCTGCTAACTTGCCGACCTCCTCCACTCTTCCTACCACTCCATCCCCCACAGCTATCTCCTCCTGTGCCACCATCCCCTCCCTCCTAGATTGTAAGCTTGAAAGAGCAGGGCCCTCGATCCCCTCATGTTTTGCATTGTATTGGTATTGTTCTGTCACATGTTCTGTCCCCCTTTGTAATGTACAGCGCTGAGCGAACTATTGGCGCTTTATAAATACTGAATAATAATAATAATAATAATATTGCAGATCAGTGTAGGCAGCAAATGCACATGCTCAGTTTTTAGTGTATTTTTACCCTGAGCATTTCCTCCCCATCACATCAAAGCAGCCCATGTGACTATAGAGACAAGCCCCCCCCCCCCCTCCTTCATGGTCACTAACTAGCTAAACACAATGAGGTTGGGATATTACGTCTTGATTGATGGAGACTGCCTCCCTGTGCCTGACAAAATCCAACCACACCATGTAATCACCAAAATAATATTTTTTTTAAATATATATTTGTATGACAATTTAAAACAGTTCTTGATAATTATTTTTACTCTGTATTCCAAAGGCTGTTTTTTTTTTTTCATTTTGAATATATGTCTAGTAGCAGTGCCACTGTTCCCCTGCAGACAGGCTGGGAAAAAGCTGGGTCATGTGAAAGCTATATATTGGACTATGAAAATAAAAAGTAGTTAATTTAATTAAAATATTTACAGTACCAACATCCACATACAGAAAGAGAAGGGATAATGTAAATCAAACCGTGAGAGTTTAGTATCACTTTAAAAAGAGAAACACACACACACGCCATGGTACACTTGATATCAGGTGCTCTGGACAGATTTGTCAAAAGTTTAAATATTTGGCTACAATAATAAGAGTCTGCAGGGAACAGTGAAGCATGGTGGAGGTTCTTTGCCAGTTTGGGGCCAAATTTCTGCAAATGGATTTGGAGATTTGGTCAGGATCAATGGTGTCCTCAATGCTGAGAAATACAGGCAAACATATATCCATCATGCCATACCATTAGGGAGGCCTTTGACTGGCTCATATTTATTTTGCAGCAGGACAATGACCCTAAACATACAGCCAATGTCTTTAAGAACCATCTTCAGTGTTAAAGAAGAACAAGGAGTCCAGGAAGTGATTGTTTTGCCCCCACAGAGCCCTTGTCTCAACATCAGCGAGTCTATGTCGGATTATATAAAGAAACAGAAGGGTTTGAGACAGCCTACATCCAGAAGATCTGTGGTAAGTTCTCCAAGATGTTTGGAACAACCTACCTGCTGAGTTCCTTCAAAAACTGTGCAGGTGTACCTAGAAGAATTAATGCTGTTTTGAAGGCAAAGGGTGGTCACACCAAATATTGATTCGTATTTCTCTTCTGTTCATTACTTTCCATTTTGTTAACTTATTAAAAATAAACTTCTATTTCTGAAAGTATCTTAATTTACAGTATTTTTAACACCCGCCTAAAACTTTTGCACAGTAGTATATACACTACATTGGCAAAACTATTGGGACACCCCTCCAAATCATTGGATTCAGGTGTTGCAATCACGTCCATGGCCACAGGTGTATAAAATCAAGAACCTGGGCATGCAGACTGCTTCTACAAACATTTGTGAAAGAATGGGTCGCTCTCAGGAGCTCAGTGAATTCAAGCGTAGTACCGTGATAGTTTGCCACCTGTGCAATAAGTCCATCCGTTATATTTCCTAGCTACTAAATATTCCAGTCAACTGTTAGTGGTATTATAACAAAGTAGAAGCAACTGGGAACAAAAGAAACTCAGAAACAAAGTCATGGGCTACGTGCTATGACAGAGTGGGGTCAGCGCATACTGAAGCGCACTGCACAGAAGTCGCAAAGTGTCTGCAGAGTCAGTCGCTAAAGACCTCCAATCTTCATGTGGCCTTCAGATTAGCACAACAGTGTGTAGAGAGTTTCATGGAATGGGTTTCCATGGCCGAGCAGCTGCATCCAAGCCTTACTCTGCCAAGTGCAATGCAAAGTGTCGGCTGCAGTGGTGTAAAGCACACCACCACTGGACTCTAGAGCAGTGGAGACGTGTTTCTCTGGAATGATAAATCAGGCTTCTCTGTCTGGCAATCCGATGGATGTGTCTGGCAGTTGTCAGGAGAAAACAAAACAGTACTTGCCTGACTGTATTGTGACAAGTGTAACATTTGGTGGGGGGGGGGGGGGGGAAATTATGGTGTGGGGTTGTCTTTCAGGGGTTGGACTTGACTCCATAGTTCCAGTGAATACCGGACTCTAGAGCAGTGGAGACGTGTTCTCTGGAGTAACGAATCACGCTTCTCTGTCTGGCAATCCAATGGATATGTCTGGTTTGGTGGTTATTATTATTATACAGGATTTATATAGCGCCAACAGTTTGCTCAGCGCTTTACAATATAACAAGAGACAATACAGCAACAATACAGTTCAATACAAGAGGGATTTGAGAGCCCTGCTCCTTGGAGCTTACAATTGTTGCCAGGAGAATGGTACTTGCCTGACTACATTGTGCCAAGTGTAAAGTTTGGTGGAGGGGGGGGATTATGGTGTGGGGTTGCTTTTCGGGGGTTGGACTTGGCCCTTTAGTTCCAGTGAAGGGAACTCTTAATGCATCTGCCTACCAAGACATTTTGGACAATTTCATGCTCTCAACTTTGTGGGAACAGTTTGTGGATGGCCCCTTCCTGTTCCAACATGACTGCGCACCAGTGCACAAAGCAAAGTCCATAAAGACATGGATGAGCGAGTTTGGGGTGGAGGAACCGCACAGAGTCCCGACCTCAACCCAATAGAACACCTTTGGGATGAATTAGAGCAGAGTCTGCGAGCCAAGCCTTCACATCTGGACATCAGTGCCTGACCTTACAAATGCGCTTCTGGAAGAATGGTCAAACATTCCCATAGACACTCCTAAACCTTGTGGACAGCCTTCCCAGAAGAGTTGAAGCTGTTATACCTGCAAAACCACTACAGATTAAGACTGGGATGTCATGTGCGTGTAAAGGCAGGCATCCCAATACTTTTGGCAATATAGTGTGTGTGTGTTACACGCACACAAATATTTTGCCCTGCAATTCTATTTTAAACAAATTGGGCTGTTTTTGAAGGCAAAGATTCACATAAATTTTAAGAATGCTCATGTGAACAAGGCCTAAGGAGGGAAAGCCAAGTGGATCCCTCTTTGTCAGTTTGTATAGGATCACTGTGAAATTGTTCAGATAAGCTTGCAGTCTGTACCGAGATCTGCTCCAAATAAACATCCAAAAGGTAAGACATACTTTAAATTTTAGGTATTTAGGTGTAAGTGGAAAAGCAAACACAGAGGTGCTTTCCCTAATTTTACTGCAAAAGTGGAAATACACATTAAGTGAAGCTGACCTTTAAAATATCTCAACTGAACAATTGCATATCACTTATGAACAACTTTACTCCATACCTTCCATGCATTCATTGACAGATTCATAGTCTGCATATGTTCTTCCTTCAGGCCTCTTTGTCGGCTGCACAAGCAAGATTGTATGAGACTGCAAAACAAATCAAATCATTAAAAAAATATACAAGTGACAGAAGTAGAACAAAGTGTAGCGTTACAAGACTGTCAAATATGTTTTCGTCTGAGTCCTTATGACACTAAAGTCTGGTATCCCCTCCCCTCCAGCAAAACGATATCTGTGACCTTCCTCATTGGCACCTGAATCTTTTCCCATTTTGATTTGCCAATCCAAGAGAGGACCTTACTTCAGTGCATGCACATGGGAGTGAATTCATTCCGGTACAACAATATATCCAGAATATACACTGAACAGGCAGGTAAATAGCTTTTACTGCAGAAAAGATATAGCATGCCTGTGAAAAAATATATGTTTGTGTGACTTGCAAGCCAAACTAAATTATTTCAAATGGATCACCAACATTAAACACATAACTTCAACTGTGCATATGAAATAATATACCTTTAAATGTTGCGCAACATTTAAAGGTATATTATAGCATGCCTCATTCAGCAAGAGAGCCTTCCTGTTGGAAACTTTTCTTTTGTTTTTGGAAAAGTTCTGTTCCACTTTAACAAACTGGAACACTCTTTCAAATGTAATTATTTACTCAACCTGCACACTTTCACACGATTCATTAAGTGTTCTTGCATGGCAAGACCACCACTTACTGTTATCTCACATATATATTCCTATTATTATAGCCAAATTTACCACCCTAACTCCTCCCACAGTTTTTACACTACATAGACAGTAATATACCGAAACGTGCGGATTGTTCCTGACTGGTGTGCTATTTGTGGAACGTTTCGCCGAATGGTTCATGAAATATCGGCATTTTTGTGGTGAAATTGGTCCCATAGGAATGAATGGCGGAATGTTCAAAACTAGAGTGGGAGCTGAAAAACCAGGACATGATTTCTAAACTGCCATCACTCCCTCATTTTCAAGCCCACCTACACAAATCTTATATCAAATGTTCAGTTATCCCTGCTGCCACTAAAAATGTCCACGGCTAAGCCATAGTCCTGATAGTTTTCACAATATGACCATTTGTTTGTAACTCACGCCGCCCATTGACATTCATTGAAACTCCACTCTAGCCACCTCAAATTTGAAGGGCAATTTCTAAACTGCAACTGTGCCTCCATTTTTAATATTTTCAGAGACATACTATGCATCAAAATGTAGGTCTGGGCCTTGTGAGTCTCAAAATATAAAGCTCTTCGGTGTAGGATTTATATTTTTTAAACTACAATCGTTTGAAGATGGCAACCGCCAGTGAAGTGAGCAAGTTGGAGCAGTTTGTTTTTAATCGCTCTTCTCTGCCCTTGCTGTAGAGTGCGTTGCTATAGGAACCCAGGTGTGTGAGCAGGCAGCAGAGTGACAAAAGCTAGAGTGTGAGCTGAAAAATCAGGACATGATTTCTAAACTGCCACCATCCCTCATTTTTAAGCCCTAGACTACTGGTGGAGGAAAGAACACTGCACACAATTTCCCCAGAAATTGTAGCTTTTCTAGTTAGTAATGTTAGGCTTGATATACATCTTTCCATGCCCATGTTTTGTATGTGCTACCATTGTCATCAATAGATCCTATAACACTGTTTACTGCATGCAACCTTTGTAATTTTCTAAACTGTCCAAAAAAATGAACATACTAACCTAGAGCAATTCTGTACATTTTTGGTGAACAGAATGTCAACAGGAAATGCCATGTCTTGGGCCTCGTTCACATGGCGCATTCTTATCCGTACAGGGCAGTGTTTACAGGCACAAGGATGCAAAGGTGTCGCATGCATTCCCATGCCAGCAGTCCAATAGCTGTCACATTGGATGAAGCTGTATCCATGGGACTGCAAGGACAGGGATGCATGCAACACCTGTACATGCTAAAATATCTGCAATATATACAGCTCATCCAGAACAGATTCCTTTTTTTCTTAACAAAACTGGAGTTAAGCCAGGTACACAGACCAAAATTTGTCCGCCTCAGCAGAACTGGCTGAATTTCAATCTATGTGTGGTCCTCCCATGTTCAACAGAAGCCGATCATTAGATCCGCTTCTGTAGCATGGTCCTGCTGGAAAACCTGCTTTAAACAGTGGTCTGCAAACAATGGCTGCACCCCTAATCAACGTATTCTGAAAGTGGAGGAGTCCCTGCTGTCAGAATACAATAGCAGAATGAGGGAGATTCCTGCTTCCACCTCATTTGTGTGGATGTAGCAATCTGAGTTTTTTGTTGAACTTACAGTTAGAAAAAACAAAACAACAAAAAACTAAGTATGTACCCAGCTTTACACTTTAAAATTAAAACTAAACGCTGGTTTTAAAAAAAGATTCTATTTAAGTACGTACCCAAACTTAAAAATAAAACAAAATCAGACTGCTAGGTAATTGCCATGTTTTAGGTCTGTTAAAGATTCTTAACTTATTTTTTTAATAAACACGTTATACTTGCGTTCTCTGTGCAACCCTTCTCCTCTTCTAGGGTCCCCTGCCACCACTTGTGGCTCCTTCACTTCGAGTACCCCCATAAGAAGCAGCTTCCTACAGGGGCACACATGTGGGCTTGTTTTCAAGCCACACTGCCTACATCCATAGATACAGGCAGTGCTCCTTGGCCCCATCCCCACGTGACAGGATTTGACTAACAGCAGGAGCCAATGGCTCCCACTGCTGCCTCTCTGTCCTGTGAGAAGAAAGAGCCACTGCTCTTAGGCACAGCGCTGGATCAGGATAAGGCTCAAGTATAAGAGGGGGCTGGAGGGGATCCTGTGCACAAAAGGTTTTTTTACCTTTGAGCAAAGAATGCCTTTAGCCTTTAAATAAGAGCAATAAACACCTATGATCCACATAAAAATTCACTGAGTTGAATACTTCCTCTACTTTCTTATCTGTACTGTTACACAATTTTCTTTTTGGACTGCAGAATACTGTCCTAAACTGTGGAGAAGAAAATGGTTCTGTGGCCCTAGCATACATTCTTTCATAAGGTAACAACGCTGCTCTTCCATAGCTACAGTGTAATGAGTATTGTCACCCTAGGACAGGAAACATGTTACTGGCAGAATCAGCAGATGAAAATAAAGGAGAAAGTTTGGGGGAAAAAAGCAAATATGGCCAGCACATCAAAAGATAAGAAGCAATATATTAGATTTTTGTTCTTGGGTTTAGTTACACTTTAAAGAAGTATAACCAAAGCTAATTTGGCTTTAATTCTCCAGTGACCTGTTTTCAGCCAAACAGTGGGTGAAAGCCTGTTGTCGGCTGACGTCACTCAACTGGTCCAGGCTCTAAAAAGATCCCAACCATATGGCCAGGATCCACCTAGAAGCCTGGACCAGCAGCTGGCTTAGCCTCTCAGCAATCCACTGAGAGCCTGAGTCAGCCCCTATACAGCCCAACGCTGCAGTGAGTGCTGGAGGGGAAGAGCAGAAAGCGAGTCACAGCTCTGCTCAGAGTGGAGGGGGAATTGAGCAATTTTGGGAATTGTTTGTTCTCAGAGCAGAGCCAGCGGGGGGGACAGCTGCTGCATGGGACTGATGATGCAGCCACTTTTTTAAAGTCCATACTTATCTTCTAAAATGGTATTAAATCCAAAAGCATTGTAATATATTGCTGCTTACTAGGGTGCACCGATAGCCTTTTTATATTGACGTGTACGAGTACAAATACTTTCGGTCAAGTACTTGCCAATACCAATACTGTGCGGTGCGATTTGCGTCCATACAAAATGTATGGACACAAATTCCACTGCAAAGAACAGCAAACAGAAGCCGTCTAGCCCGTGCTGTCATCCGTGCAAGGAGAGGAGAGAAAGCTGCTTCACAGGTCTGGGGGATTTAAACTCCCCATGACAGTATGACCTAGACAGCTTCTGATTGGTCATCACCTGTTTCACAGGTCTCACAATTTCAAATCCCCAGCCTTTCCTTCTGCGCTAACATGGAATCGGTGCAGGGAGGTTTCCCACATTGCCTCTGTGTGAACTCAGGCTATGACAAACCTGGGTTCACACAGGCGCAGTGAGGAAACCGCATGAGATTTGGAAAGGAATCGCATTCCTGTTCAAATCACATGCTATTCCTTGCGGTGCAATTTGAGTCCATACAATTCGTATTGAAGCAAATCAAATCACAAAGTATCGGTTTCAGATATCGGGAGCATTTTCACAAGTACTCGTGAAAATTACTTAGTATCGGCATTGATAACGGTGCATCCCTACTGCTTACTGATCATTAGATGTGGTGGCTGCATTAGTTTTTCTTTAGGTTATTTTCCCTCCTCTGGTTTTCACCTGGTGATCTGGCCAGTAACACACCTCCTGTATTAGAGTGCCCCCACTCTGGATGAATAGGCAACTGAGGCACTCTGGACAGCAGCATTGTCAGTCTGCGGGGAGGGGAGTGTTAAACATTCGCATATTTAGATTCATTAACAAATTAATGCCAAGCTTCAGCTAACACACTATAAGAAGTTACAGCAAACAGTTGTTCCTTTTGGGATAAAGATTTTATATAAAGAAAAGACAATCATTGTAAGCAACCCTATCAGTGGTAAGTGGTTTGCCTTAATCCTCCAACTGCTACATTTGCAGGTCAGCTTGGTCTGTTGAAAAACAACAGACTTCCTGTTTAGATCAGTCTCTCTCAACCAGGGTGCCTTGAGGTTTCTTCAGGGGTGCCTTGGCAAAATGTCTAAAAATTGTATACAAGCCAGCGGGTGGAACAAGCCTGCCTTTTAGTTACACAAAGCCACAGGTTTTCATTGTGCACCATTATGACCTTCTAGCTGCTGGCATCCTGACAACCAATGACATCATCAGTTGATAAGGAAAATGCTGGTTGCATGCACAGCACCCTAGTTTGACCCTCCCCTGTCCCTCTCCATCAGTGCTGGGGTCACGCTAGCTCAGTGATGGAGAAAAACTGAGGGAGAAGAGAAACAGTGGAATACTAGTCAGTACCAGTGTGCAAACGTGTATTTGCTCTGGAAGAATAAATCACCTCCAATGTTGGGTGTCCAACATGTGTGGATGTTGCTGCGTTATATAAAACTAGTAGAATAGTTTTTTCACATTTTAGAATGAGGTGCCTCAAGACTATCCATAATTTTAAAGGGTGCCTTGCCTGAAAGAAAGTTGAGAAACCCTGGTTTAGATCAGCAGGTGATAAAGGAAGAACACCTAAAATATAAAACAAATGCAGCCATCGCATCTGAGAGTTGTTGAGCTGCACTATAATAGAATGTTAGATTTGGGGTTAATACTGCTTTTACGTGACCTTGTAGATACAGGATGACAATGAGAAATAGCTATACCTGACAATAACAAGGGGCCCCATACTGATCATTCAGGTGAGCTGGGTCTTAAAAGGCAGTCACACTGCTGCTAGTCAGCTGCCACAAGTACTTTCCTGTCCTGATGGGTTGAATACCTATTCCCCCTGTTGCAAGCAATGGTTCCTCCTATGCCCTGTAATGATATATCAGACTATGGAAGGAACCACTGTGTATGGAGGGGGGGGGGGGGGGGGGGGGGGGGGGATTAGGATCAACAAACCTGAAACTAATGAACACTTGCAGCAGCTGAGAACATAGAATTTCAAGATTGGGGCCACCGGGGAGGGAATTCTATCACCTTTCCGCAGATATCTGCTGATCGGGGTCACATTAATACTATCTCCCATCTGGTGATAATGGGTGGCGCTATGAGGGCTGCACTAAGGAGAGATGAAGGGAGACAATGCAGGCCTACAGCGATCACATTACGATCTCATACAGTGATCTATGGAGGAGAAACTATCATATCATCCGAATAACACGGAGCCGCGGCCATGTGTACAGTCCTCACTCCATGCCGTGTCACGCCGGCCTCTCACACACCATGCGGCATTGCTGCAGAGCGCGCTCACACACACCGTACTCCTCTCCTGCACGTGGAGCCGCCATACCCTGCACAATATACCGTACACTCCCCCCCGATCCCTCACTCACCATCTTCGACTTCTTCACAGAATTCCAATCAACCGTACACTCCACCGGAAGTTCTCCGCACACCTTCCGCCAGAAGTGAGGTCACGCGCACTTCCACTTTTGAGTATGGCGGAAGTACGTAGAGGAATGTTCCGGAAGTGGCTCGGTGTGGCTATGTTGTTGTTTGAACTGTGCAAATGGGGGCAGAGGAAAGGAATACATGTATAGACAACAACATAGAATGATAATAATATTCATTTTAAAAATAACATGAACCACTTGCCCTCCTGAGGATTTACACCCCTTCCTGACCAGGCCAATTTTTGCATTCGTTGCTGCATTACTTTGATAATTGCGTGGTCATGCAACGCTGCACCTGAATGAAATGTATGTCATTTTTTTCCCACAATTTGAGTTCTCCTTTGGTGGTATTTGATCACCTGTGCATTTTTTTTTGCACTATAAAAAAAATGACAATTTTGAGAAAAAACAATATTTTTGACTTTTTGCTATTAAACGTGAACAGCAAAAAAATTTAAAAAATCAAATTTTGTCACACATTTATGCTAAAATGTATTCTGCTACATATCTTTGCTAAAAACAAATCCCAATACGTGTACATTAATTGGTTCACGTGAAAGTTATAGCGTTTACAAATGGTGGTATATATACCAGGATTTTTTTTCAGTTTTACTAGAAGTGATGGTGATCAGCGACTTATAGCGGTACTGCGCAGGCATTCTGACACTGGGGGGGACTGACTTGGTGTCACTGACATCCCCCCAGTGACACCAATACAGTGATCAGTGCTGAAAAAAAGCACTGACACTACTAATGACACTGGGTAGGAAGGGGTTAACAGGGGCGATCAAAGGGTTAACTGTGTGCTGGAAGTGTTTTACTAGGGGGCGGGATGTGTTTGATTCACTGTAATCACACTGCTGTGGATGGCTGTGCTGTGCACAGCCATCCACAAGTGTTCCCGAGCTGATGGAGAACTGTTAGTAAACAAAACAGTCCTCCTCCCTGTCGGAGATCCTCAGAAATCAGCGGGTGACGGCGAGTAATTACCGGCCGGGGCCTGGTGATCGACAGCCACGAATGGTGGCGTGGGCAGCTCGCGTTCGCCCCCTACCCGGAAATGCAAAATCACGTATATATATATATACAGTGGGGATCGAAAGTTTGGGCACCCCAGCTAAAAATTTGTATTAATGTGCATAAAGAAGCCAAGGAAAGATGGAAAAATCTCCAAAAGGCATCAAATTACAGATTAGACATTCTTATAATATGTCAACAAAAGTTAGATTTTATTTCCATCATTTACACTTTCAAAATAACAGAAAACAAAAAAATGGCGTCTGCAAACGTTTGGGCACCCTGCAGAGTTAATATCTTGTACTGCCCCCTTTATTATTTATTTCAGGTACTTATATAGCGCCGTCAATTTACGCAGCACTTTACATATATATATTGTGCATTCACATCAGCCCTCAAGGGGTGTACAATCTAAGGTCCCTAACTCACATTTATACATACACATACTAGGGACAATTTAGACAGGATCCAATTAACCTGGCAGCATGTCTTTGGAGTGTGGGAGGAAACCGGAGTACCCGGAGGAAACCCACGCAGGCACAGGGAGAACATGCAAACTCCATGCAGGGGGTGCCATGGCTGGTATTTGAACCAATGACCCTAGTACTGCCAGGCAGTAGTGCTAACCATTTAACCCTTTGGCAAGTATCACAGCTTGTAAACGCTTTTTATAGCCAGCCAAGAGTCTTTCAATTCCTGTTTGAGGTATCTTTGCCCATTCTTCCTTACAAAAGTCTTCCAGTTTTGAGATTTCTGGGCTGCCTGTCACGCACTGCTCTTTTAAGGTCTATCCATAGATTTTCAATTATGTTGAGGTCAGGAGATTGTGAAGGCCATGGCAAAACCTTCAGTTTACGCCTCTTGATGTAATCCCCCGTGGATTTCGAGGTGTGTTTAGGATCATTATCCATTTGTAGAAGCCATCCTCTCTTTAACTTCAGCTTTTTCACAGATGGCATCAAGTTACCATCCAAAATTTGCTGAAATTTTATTGAATCCATTTTTCCTTCTACTCGTGAGATGTTCCCTGTGCCACTGGCTGCAACACAACCCCAAAGCATGATTGATCCAACCCCATACTTAACAGTTGGACAGAGGTTCTTTTCATTAAATTCTGTGCCCCTTCTTCTCCAAACGTACCTTTGCTCATTCCGGCCAAAAAGTTCAATTTTAACCTCATCGGTCCACAGAACTTGTTTCCAAAATGCATCAGGCTTGTCTATATGTTCATTTGCAAAGTTCAAACGATGATTTTTGTGTGTGAGGACGTAGAGAGAGGTTTTCTTCTGATGACTCTTCCATGAAGACCATATTTGTACAAGTATCTCTTTATAGTGGAATAGTGTACCACAACTCCAGTGTCTGCCAGATCTTTCTGGAGGGATCGTGCAGTCAAACGTGGGTTTTGAATTGTTTTTCTCACAATCCTGCGAGCTGTTCTGTCTGATATTTTTCTTGGTCTTCCAGATCTTGCTTTAACTTCCACTGTTCCTGATGACTGCCATTTCTTAATTACATTCTGAACAGAGGATATTGACATCTGAAAACGCTTTGCTATCTTCTTATAGCCTTCTCTAGCTTTGTGAGCGTCAACTATTTTCAGTTTCAGTTTTCTAGACAACTGCTTAGAAGAACCCATGGTGCCGATTGTTGGGACAAGGTCAGATGAGTCTGGGCATTTAAAAACCTTTGAGATTGACATCACCTGGTCTTCCCAGACGATGACTGAGAACAATCCATGACACTGGCAGGTCTCAGCTTTGCAAAGGGGGCAGTGCATGCTATAAATTCTGCAGGGTGCCCAAACTTTTGCAGACGCCATTTTTTTTGTTTTCTGTTATTTTGAAAGTGTAAATGATGGAAATAAAATCTAACTTTTGTTGACATATTATAAGAATGTCTAATCTGTAATTTGATGCCTTTTGGAGATCTTTCCTTGGCTTCTTTATGCACATTAATACAAATTTTTAGCTGGGGTGCCCAAACTTTCGATCCCCACTGTATATATATATATATACATATATATATATATATATATATATATATATATATATATATATATATATATATATATGTATGTGATTTTGCGCACACCGCTGCTGCCCTGTAGCAGTATTTCTGCTACAGGGCGGTCGTCAAGCGGCTAATAAAATGGAATAAATACATGTGACTGGTATGTGCAGCAAAAGTGGATTTTATAATTACATGAGAAGGAAATGAGAAATGTAATCTGCTATAATAAATCTCTTTGATTTCATTTTCCAAAAGGCACAACTTGGTTACCAGAGTACAGTATATAGAGGTTCATTAGTAACGGTTTGGAGCCATGTTTTTCAAGTAATGGGTCGCAAGCAGAGGCGGACTGGGCCACGGTGCAAGTGCCCCCCAGGCCTCTTTCATGCCAATATAAAATGTCTGGTGCCCTGACAGCATAGCGTAATAAAAACCACCCGCCGCACTAATAGAAATGTTAAGAATGCTGGAACCTTAATATTGCGGCCAGCTAGTTCCATCATAAATAAATGATTGAGTAAATAGTGAATACTATAAGTGATAATCATATAAAAGTCCCAAAGAAATTGCTTCTGAATGGAATGGAATATCCTTCCTCCTGTGAACACCTGGTGCTCCAACCGCAAAAAAATGTGCACAATTCCCACGACAGATATCTGCTCACCTCCAGCAGTGCAACTTCACATGTATAATGCTCGGTCAAACCACACTTTTGGTCCCATAATGGACTCTGAAGATTAACTTTATAGGAATAGATTCCAATGGAACGTTCCAAAAATACCCTTCATCTGCAGTATTCCTCATAAATAAAAAACTTCACATAGTGTTTACCCTTTTAACACAAAAACTTCCACATTTGCACTCACATGTGACAGGTGCCAGACTGCATCAAGTGTAAAAAACCTCCAATGAATATCTCCAGAATCCCAAGGAATCTGTGCCTTCCAAGTCAGCTACAATCAACTACAGCCATATGTGATCCAGCATGACACCAGGTCATAAGAAAACGTGACACAATAGCAACCAGGGCCCTATAAGTGTTACCAGATTGTCCCACGATCTGCAGAGTCCTGGAGAGACGTTCCAGGCAGAAAAACACAGAGTCCTGATAGTTCAGAAAGGTGCCTACAATGTATGTTCTAGTTTATGTGTGGCTAGAGGAAGACACTTAGAGAAAGGTGTGGGAGTAGGTGACAGCCAAGATGGAGAGAATATGGAAGAGTAGGAATTCGTTAGAAACTGCTGTTGCTTGTAAGCAAAGAACAAAAGAGACAGTGACAGAGTATGTGAAAAGGTATATAAAAGTTTGGAAGGAAGAAGCTGGGATGGAAATGGCTAGTGTAGAAATGGGCACTGTGACGGACAGCAGAAATATTCTTTCATTTTTGTGTTGTTTTGTTAACATGGCAAACAGTCAGCTTGTTTGCTTTGTTTAGAATTTGCAGTTCCTGTGCCCTGAAGGGGGTGGGAGGTGAGAGTTATCCGAGTAGGAGGGGCAGACAGCATGGTGTCTTATGGCTGTGAAAGCCAGACGAGTGGGCACCAGGAGCTTGGGGCTTGGTCAATTGAGAGGATTACCCCTTGCCTGCCTGAACTGCCCTCTGCTGTGCCGGACTCTCTTTGTCTCAACTGCCCCTCTGCTGTGTCCCTGGATTACCCCTTGCCTGCCTGAACTGCCCTCTGCTGTGCCCGGACTCTCTTTGCCTCAACTGCCCCTCTGCTGTGTGCCCAGATTACCCCTTGCCTGCCTGAACTGCCCTCTGTTGTACCCGGACTCTCTTTGTCTCAACTGCCCCTATGCTGTGTGCCTGGACTACCCCTTGCCTACCTGAACTGCCCCTCTGCTGTGCCCGGATTATCTTTGCCTGAACTGCCCCTCTCTTGTGTGCCCGGATTACCTCTTACCTGCCTGAAATGCCCCTCTGTTGTGTGCCCCAGACTTAACCCTTGTTACCCCGATCAAGTGTCC